GGGAAAGGTGCATAACACCCTGGGAGACTTGCTTCACCATAAACCCCTCCCTGCTGGATTTTTGAAAGTATCTGTTGATATTGCATTAGAGGGGGGGCATTTTTGCCTATGCGAGACGATGTATCAGACGCAACAGTGGTGGGAGACGCGATAGGAGCTTATGTAGCATGGCCGGCGAATCTCATTTTCATGGATGATGAGGTAGGTTGAACCTTGTAATATTCCAATGTTTTATTACCCATACATGAAAGTTATTCTGACATTTACACTTTCTTATTGACATGATGATCTTAGACTCCCACAAAATCCAAAACAAAAGATGATAAAATTATTGTGCGGGATACCGATTCAGCTGCATCAAAGTTACAGGTACTAGTACTACAGTTTAAGTGATTATTTTATTATAAATTATTTACTGAACTTATATATGACTTTTAGGTTCTTGATCAGCAGTCGCAACATGTCAGCAAGGGAAACATGCCTGAAACTTCCAAGGTGCCCAAAAAAAAGGTCGAGACAAAAAGAGCATTTGTTCCTCAATTTAGGTCGTGCCTTCAAACATATGTAGGGACAACAGACGTGCCTGAGGGCGGCATCCGTCTAATACATATGGAACAAGGTATTTTCGGTTTTGAATATTCCGAAACACTTGCTAAGGAGGATTTCGACCAGGTTTTCAAACATTTAGAATTGGGCGTCGGGGTTATGCATACCTACATCAGGTACTTCGATCCATTTTAATTAGATAATTGAACATTTTAAAATTCGCTCGTTTAGCTGAATAATCTAATGTTGATTATATTTTTTTTAGGCGCTTGTATGACAAAATGTTGGTCCCCGCTGATTTGACTTCAGTATTCGCATTCTTATCTGCTAGCAGTGTCAACTCACGGACAATAGACCAGACACCAGAAGCAGTCAAAGAGTACACAGTCCAGAGATTTATGGGTGCGAATACGGAGAAGTTGTTTATGTTGCCATATAATACTGGCCATGGGTTAGTTTTTATTCTAAATTCATTTATTATAATTGTTCGATTTTTGCCATATTATATAACATTTCCGTCTAAACTGTTGTCTTATTTTATAGTGGTCACTGGTTGTTGGTCGCAATTAATCCGATTAAAGAAATAGTGTATTATATAGATTCATTGGATGGCGATACAAACAAATATGAAAATCTGAAGAACATGGTTGATATGTAAGTGATGATGTATAGTGTTCTGAATAATTATATATGTTTATTTATTATGTGACATTGTTCTAAATATGTGTTTATATTATGTTAGAGTTATACAAATATACAGAGCACAGAGAGATGCAACAGTGCCAAAAAGCAGGGCTAGCAACATCAACTGGATCAGAGTGGAGGTATATTTTCCCATGTTTGACTGTTATAGTGGTTCTACTTATAAAACTATTTAAACTATATATCCTGATAAATGTTCGTTCGCTTTTTTCCTAATACAGTGTCCTCGTCAGCGTGGTGGGATTGACTGCGGATATTTTGTACTGCGCTTTATGAAGGAAATCATTCTTTCTGGTCAATTAGAGATTCCAATCATGGTATGGATCAATTCATGAGTTATATGATTCATTTTGATTATTAACTAATATTTCATCTGAGTAATTAGTATTAAATCGTGCTTGTTCTGTTATATTATGTAGTATTTTGATGAATTCAGATGCGCTACGTACTCGAAAGTAAAACTGGAAGAAATTAAGGAAGAATGGTGTCAATTTATGATTGAGTTAAGAATTCTATAATGTATATTGGATTTGTAATTATGTGTAAATTGTATATTGTATATTGTATATTGTATATTGTATAATGTACAATGTTTAAATTATGTGTAAATTATACTTGAGTTAATTATGTGTAAATTGCAAAGTGTTATTGTATAATGTACAATGTTTAGTTATATTGTGTTGAATTAAAGGCCAAGTGTTGAATTACAATGTTTAAAGGCCAAGTTATGTTTAAAGCCTGAATTATTAGCAGGGAATTTAATTGTTATAAGCAGGTTTGTCTAAAAATATAAAAAAATGTGATTTTTCAAAAAAAAAAAAATTTAAAAACGTGAGGTATAGACAGCGCTTTTACAAGAAAGCGCTGCTAAAGGAAGAAAAATAGGCATAAAAAAGCGCTGCTATAGGTTAGGAAAGGAGGGGTCTAAGAAAGCACTTTAAAAAAGCGCTGCTAAAGGGTGGTCTACAAAAGCTTTTTCATAAAGCGCTGCTACAGGGGGAGGGGGGGGGGGGGAGAATAGGCAGCGCTTTGAAAGCGCTGCTAAAGGGGTACAAAAGCGCTGCTAAAAGTGATACCTTTAGCAGCGCTTTTTCCATAAAAAAAAGCGCTGCCTTTACCTTTAGCAGCGCCACTTTAGGCAGCGCTTTAAAGCGCTGCTAAAGGTCAAAAAAAGCGCTGCTAAAGGCCATTTTTGGCATAGTGTATGTTGTATAATTGATATTATATTTTATTATTTTGTATTAATAACTAAAATGTAATAACATGTGGGTACAACATTGGTTAATATATATTTATCTATATAATTTAAAATATTTAAATGTAATACGAAAATTTTTTTTTTTTAATTATTTATGTTACTAATAAAGAAATAACTTAGACAAATATTTATAAGTAAAAGGATCCCAGACAAAAAAAAAGTAAGGTATGAATTAATTAACATTACAATTATATATGTTAATATAAATAATTCATAATTATTTTATGATCATTAAAACAAATAAAATAAAATAAAAATAATTAAATTCAATTTGAACATAGTATATGACACATGGTATAAAAAATGTGTGATTGTTGATAAATATATATTTAATTTTTATTTTAAAATAATTAAAATAATTGTAAAGGTGTATAATTGATTTTTGAGATATATTATTTTTTAAAGTGGATTAAATTAAAGTTTTTAATTTTTTTAAATGTATCGTTCATATCCATTGTATAAATATCGTTAAATACATTTTATCATGTATTAAATATTTATGAAAAATATTGATAAATTTAACATTTTATTCTCGAAATAAGTCAAATATCAATATTTCAAATTTCAAATTTATTTTCAAAAGTCGTTAATTATTTAAAATTTTGTTACTCGATTTTTATGGATATGTCACAAAAGAGATATTTTTAATACTACCCCGTCTCATAAAAAGTGTCGCATTTGCACTTTTTTCATATCTCAAAATAAATGTCTCTTTAGAATACCAATACAACATTCATTTATTTTTCCACAACTATACTGCTATTCATTAACTTTCACGTTTTTCAACTACTCCACTAACTATAATAATTAAGCATATTTTAATAAAAGATATCAATTTTATCATTAAAATCAACACATCTAATTATTTTCATAAGAACTACGCACATGTCAAATAAGATATTTTTATGAGATGGAAGGAGTAATAATTACACAAATTAGGAGATTGTAAGAGAAAATATATATCTACAGGAAAAACTGAATTACTGAATCCGAGAAAATGAAGTTATTGATAATATAGTAAAACATATAAGACAAATATTTTTATACACGGGAAAATTTAAATACTTTAGATTGAACTTTATTTTTATATATAAAAAAGTGTATAGATGATCCAAATACTTTTATGCTTGAGAACAAATTTTTTATTCATCAAAATATTTTTATAAATAATGTAAAAACAAAACTCATTATTATTATATTTTAAAAACAATTGTGCATAATTCATCAGTACCAGTACGAAGACACGAGTATCCAGACTATAACCCGTGCGAACTCACGAGTTATTACAATTACGGTACAATTAAAGAAAATAAAGGTAAATATATATAAAGTATTGTATGAATCCAAACACGGACAAAATGTATTTTTTAATGTTACTAATATTTATTTCTACAATTAAATTAATATTTACAAATATTATGTTATTATTTGATATTTTTTTAAAACTAAGTTATTACAAAAGTATTTTTATAAAAAATATCAACCGGTGTTCGCGAGTATTGATTTTATTTTTTTAAAATATAAATTAAATTTTTTATATTTATTAATTTTTATTAATTCTATTTTTTTTTAATTTTAAATGTAGACAAATTTGCGTCACCAACGGATACGTGCGAAGGCCGTGGTATCTCGTTAGTTTGAATGAAGAAAGAGAATGAGTGTATATAATATTTAATCGTGATTTAGTTGGTGGAGGTTGATAAATGAATACCACTTATCATTATATATTAAGAGATGAGATTGAAATAAAAATAAATATTTGTTGATTACTAAAATACTCTTTTGTTAGTGTAAATACTTTATGATAAAAAGACAATTTTAAAAATTCATGCAATTGAATTATAATAGATAAATAGTAAATACTACACGGGTGAGAGACTTAACCACTCCTTCACTTTAGACACCTTTGGAAAAAGATAAATAAAATTTTATTTTAGAATAATTTTTGAATCATAAATTATAAAACTACATTTGAAAACAATTTTTGAATCATAAAGTATTCTCTAACTTAAATTGGTCAACACCTCTCTTGTCTAAACATTTATTCATCAAAATACCTTATTAAATAATATTATTATAAATTCTTATATTATATTTTATTTGAATCAATATAAGACTAAATATATAAATTCCTACCATATCCACTATTGAATTTAGGTAATTTGACTATATTAATTTGAAAATTTATTACAATAATTTTCTATATAAAATAATTTTATTTTATTATTAGTCAATGATAGTTTTTTCAAATAGCACATAGTAACAAACAATATATATTAGTATTACCGTGGACATTTTGGGAAATATAATTTGAACCTCCCACCATATAAATTTCATCTTTTTTCCTTCCCTCTCTCTGTACACTGTCCCCAAACACCTCACTTCCGACACAACACCTCACTTCCAACACAACACCTACAATTGACCCTTTGTCGTTTTCCCTTTTTTTCTGTTTTCACCTTTCTCTCTTTTTTCAACAGTGCCAGTAACGAACATGGAAACGAAGTTCATCAAAACGACGACGTATGAAGATAAACCGGGTTCATCAAAGAATGCTGGTTTCAAAACGGAGATTGACACTTCAGTTCCGTTTGAATCGGTTAAAGATGCTGTTCATCGCTTCGGAGGTGTTGGTTACTGGAAACCCTTTCACACTTCTCATCCTTCTAAGGTATTTTGTTTCCATCTACATTGTTTGTGTGATTAATATTTGCAATTAATTGACCCATTAATACCATTTATGTGTTTGTATGATAATTTTATTTGTTCATTTTAGCTTATGAATTATGATAATTTTATTTCTGTTTTTTTAGTGCTAGGGTTTCTTGAATCTTATGAAATGCAGAGCTACATTGTTTGTGAAACCCTACTATTCATAGTACATTTTGAAGGATACTTGTGTGATATGTATTTGAAAGTATCATACACGTATAAGCACCCACACCTCTGAAAAAATGTGTGTCTGTATAAGTGTTGATGTCTGAAACCGACATCTATATTTGTGATTACATATAGTTTATTCATTTTTTTCTAATTATTACTGGTGTTATGTGTCAGTGTCGATATCATGTTTCTGATGTTCGTACTTCATAGCGCGAATCTGTACCAGATATGGATTTGACACCAATACCCTACGAACTTTTGAGTGTTTGGGCTTCATAGTACATTTTTCTTATAGAGGATACTAGCTTAGGAATATAATTAGTCTATCATTTTCGATTGTAAAGCTACATTGTAGTGTGAATTAACTTTTACGAAAATATTGTTATCGAGCGGTATAGTAAGTTCTTGTCCTCTCTTTTGTTAGCAGCACTGCACAGAAGGGCTTGATACGGAGAAACTGGAGGAGCAGGCGAGAGTGTTGGAGAAAGAACTGAACCTGAAAGAAAGGGAAACTTTTGATGTATTGAAGGAGTTGGATAAGACTAGAAGGCTTGTTGATGATTTGAAATCGAAGCTGCAGAAGGAAGAATCTGAAGCAAAGTTGAATCTTGAGATGAGTGCGTGTGATAAAAAATCGGATGTAAAGGAAAATCAATCGAGTCCGTCTGAGGTTGTTTGTCCTATGAAGGAATGTTCAATGCCTTCTAATGTATCTTCTCCGGGCTTAATACTAATGGAATTGAAGCAGGCTAAGTTGAACCTAACAAAAACCACTCATGATTTTGCCGATGTACGAGCTACTGTTGAATCTCTAAATAAGAAATTAGCGAAAGAAAGGATCTCACTTGAGAAAACCCGTGAGAGGTTAACTCAAAATCGTTCGAAAATATCATCTCTTGAAAATGAGTTAAACCAAACAAGATTAAGATTGCAAGTTGCAAAAGGTGATGCTTTTGATAATCCTACAATAGAGCTCCAAAAATTGCGCTTCGAGGCCGAGAATTTCAGAAAAAGGAGAGAATCTGCACAATCAGAAGTTTTGAAAACAATGTCTGAGATTGAGCTGACAAAAGCTAAGATAAGAACTGCCGAAATCAGGTTGGTTGCGGCAAAGAAAATGAAGAAAGCTTCAAGAGCTGCAGAAGCTGCTACCCTTGTCGAAATTAACGCATTGTCTAACTCTAACCACAGGGGTTCACCAAGAGAGTGTACGCCAAAGCGCGAGGAAATTACACTTTCAATTGATGAGTATATTACTCTGACCCGAAAAGCTCGAGACGTGGAAGAACAATCTAAGAAGAGAGTAGCAAATGCTATGCTTGAAGTTGATGAAGCATATTCATCGCGTGCGGATATTTTGAAAAGGGTAGACGAAGCAACAAAAGAAGCTATAACCGGAAAGAAGGCCCTTGAAGAAGCCCTAGAAAAAGTCATGGCTGCAGATATAGGGAAGCTAGAAGTTGAAGAGGCTTTAAGGAAGTGGCGATCAGACAATCACAAAAGGCGTTCTTCGACGAATAATAACTCTACCAAGTTCAAGAACCCTGGTCCATCAGATCAAAGGAGAGATTTCACGTTACTGGATGTAAACGGATTGAATTTGGTAAAGGATGAAGTCAAGCCTGTTTTAAAGCCGACTCTATCAATAGGACAAATACTAAGCAAGAAGCTGTTTAGACCAGAAGAGTTTGAAGGGGAGAAGACTCCCAGCGAAAAAGTCTCGGTGAAACGGAAGGTGTCATTAGGTCAGATGCTTGGCAAACACAATGATGTTGACGGTGCATTGTTTGATGAACAAGTCGAAAAAGAAAAAGAAAACGATCAGAAGCAGTTTTCTGCTAAGAGAAAGAAATTCGGGTTTGCAAGATTCTCACTTCTTTTGTCAAAACAGCATAAGAAGAAGAAACCAATGCGGAATTTGAGGTGAATAGACTCAAATAGCATCTCCTATAACTCCTCAATCCTCATCACATTCTCTTGCTTACTGTTTTTTGTGTCATTTTTATTTTTATTGTAAGAAATTTAGAATATAAGTTATTATGTTCAGGTTCAGTTATGTCATTCCCTGCATTTTACAGTACACTTTTATTTATGTTAAATAAGCTGTAGTCCCTGCTTGTATATTACTATATAACTAGTTATTGTAAGTAGTGTTATAATGTTCATTTTCTTAAATGTTTTTAAGTATGTTTTGAAGAGATTGCTTACAGTTTTTTAGTTATAACTCATAAGATACCGTTGTAAATTTTTGTGAGGACATAGCTTATTTTAATGAACTTTTTGGCATAGCTAATTAAAACAGTTTGCAATTTATAAGAAAATGTGATATGATGTTTCATTTTGTAGAAGGCAAAAAGTAAAGTGCCTCTCTTTTGTAGAAAACAGAAAAAACAGAAAGTTTTATGTGGGTTTGTTTCATGGGAATACATCTCAGTAATGACTCTTATTTCAAAACTTGATATTTTACGTTCGGTGAATTTTACAGAGATGTATTTTTTAACGGATTTTAATTAATAGAGCTCGCGTTAGACCTTTCTCATTTCCTTCTTCATTTGGTACACTTTTACAAACCCTTTAAAGAACTCGTGAGCAAGATTTAAGTGTGCCATTTTTCAAGCTTCAACATTACTTCTATCTCATTGCAATCAATCTCAAGACATTTCATTCAAGTTTTTGAACAACAACTCTTAATCAACAAGTTTCTCATTTCCTTTCTATTTTTGAGTAGTCATGCATGTATTAGGTAAAATAGTTTGTTTAAAATACATTAAGTTGTAGTTACATTCAAAATAGGTAGTTTGTACAGACATGCATTCATATTTGTTAGTGTTTAGGAAATTGTTTGTATAGACATGCATTCATATTTGTTAGTGTTTAGGAAATTGTAGGGGATTTTTTGCATTTTCTGTAATTGCTCATTTTTACTGAGATACATCTCATAATTTTTTCCTTTTCTGTTGTTATGAAGATGCATTTTTGGATTTTACTTGCCTTAATTTTGATATGATTTTTTAGTTTGTATTATAGGAACAATAGTTGAAAACTAGGATAAATTAAGGCACAATCAGGTATTCCAACATGCGTTTGTTTGTAAGGAGAGAGTAGTGCACTCGAGGCCACAAGTTACTGCTAGTTCGTTTGACGCAGAAGCGTCGACTTCACATGGTTGTGTATCTCAGACTTCACAAGGTCGTATGTCTTAAACTTCGACCTCCCGAGGGCACGTGTCTCATTCTGACCCTGAACCCCTTAAAGCCAACAAGAGAAACATGATGTTACTCCTGTTCCTAATGTTTTTTCAGGAGGCCTTTATGACACCTCCTTACTTTCTCTTTATATAGAACATGTTGCTAGGCATGTGTTGGAAGGAGAGGTATATTTATTTACTTTTACATTACATATGTTTCATATTAATTGAGTTGCGACTGATGTTGATATATTTATTTTTACAAGAAGTCATCTTTCCACATCCCTCATGGTGAGATGCACATCACCCTTTATGATGTTTTATGCCTTCTACATCTTTCGATTAGGGGAATACTACAAAATTGTTCCTGGATCAACAGATCTGAGGCACTTAAAATGATGGTGAATTATTTGGGAGCTAACTCATGTGAGGCTTAAGGGTGCTTAATACCACGAGAGGCACCCATGCCTGATTTTCATACCTGGCGGGACTGTATAAATATCACCTGGATGAGGAAGTTGATGCCAAAGGTGATGGCGAGTAGGTTTTGTTCCACAAATAATTTGCATTGAGGCCATACTTCATGTACTGGGTTGGCACGACAATATTTATGGATAAAAGTGAAACCAAGGTCAATGTAGTCTACGTGACATACTTCATCGGCTTATAGAGGATCCACGGGTATAACTGGGGGTCGTGTGTTTGGTTCATTTGTACTCTAAACTAGATGAAACAGGTCTTTGAAAGACAAGACAGATTCTAAGAAGTTGCACGTTGTTTATGGTATTATATTTGTAACCTTTACTGTTACTAATATTTTCACAACACTTGTTACTACTATTTTATTTGAACCATTTTTAGGCGTAGATCATCTCTCACTTTCCTTGCATATCCGACTAAGAACATGAGATGGACTACAATGAGGATTGGTCATGTGCTTAAACCTTTACCGTGTTCAGAGGGAATCAGACGATAAAGTCGTTCTAGTTGTTTATTGAACTGTTCGCAGACAGTTTTTGCGCGAACAACCTCTGACCTCCTAACGCAGACTTACTTGTGAGACCGGCCAAACAAGTTCCAAAACAAACTAGTCGAGTCTAGGCGATGTTGGTAGAATGATTTTTGTTTAGAGTAAGTAGAAAACAAACTTGAAGAAAAGGTGCACACGAATTGATACACAAGCAAGTAAACAAGTACATGTAAGATATCTTAAAACCTGGTAATGTAAATTGCTTTAAAAAGAAATGTGGACGCCATTATATATTTTGCAGGAGTGAACTCTTTTCTTTTAACGCGTGGTACTCAGAGTGTATTCCTTTTACAATGTTACAAAATGCGACCCCCTAGAATAAAAATGGACATTGCTTTAAATATAATAAGAAAATAACTGCTTTCTCTCAATGTTGGTCTTGGTGGTGATGTAACGCCCATTTTAATTATTTGAGTTTTTCCGGTGTTATTTTTACTTATCGGCGTGCTTTGTGTGAAAGTGTCGAGAAATAAGGAACATAATATTAATATCATATAATTGATAATGATAATAATTGATAATTAATATTAATATTGATATTATTATTATTATTATTATTATTATTATTATTATTATTATTATTATTATTATTATTATTATTATTATTATTATTATTATTATTATTATTATTAATGTTAAGAAGTTTTATATTAATTTTGGAATTAAAAGAAAATGAGGATTTATTTGGGATTAAGGGTAGAAGTGACATTTGGAGGAATTGGAGAAAGAAGAACACGATCAAAGAGGAACACGGTCAAGGAGAAGAACACGAATCAAAGAAAGCAAGCTTGAGGAAGAGGAAGGAGGGAGCTAGGCTTTGGATTCTTGAAGTTTCTTCGATCAAAGCTGCATTTGAGGTAAGGGGGGAAGAATCGGTTAAAATTCGGTATTGCATGAATTCTAGGTAGGAGGGGATTTCCCTAACCCCATAGATGTTGATGAACTGATTGTTATGATGTTGTGAATTATGAGTTGCTGCTGGTATGATTGAATCATTGCATGTGTTTGTTTGAGTGATTTGGGGTTTTCGGTAGTTTACCGTTTTAAGCCGAAATTGATCAATTGAGCAGAACTGAGGTTTTATCGGGTGAAATCGAGAATGGGTTATGTAGTTAAGTCGTAGAATGTTGGTTAGTTGTGTTAGAAGCTGGTTTGTGCGTAATCGGGTGAATTCGGAAAGAGTTGTTGTTTCTGCACAGTGGGATTTTTCTTAAATCGCAGGTATTCGCCAGCTTTCGCTGGGCGAATAAGGGGGCGAGCCTTCGCTAGGTTTCGCCAGGCAAACTGAGCAGCGAGTGCTGCTAGTAGCCACTATCTGGCTTCGCCAGGGGTTTCGCCGGGCGAGTTCCAGCGGGAATTCGCTGCGGGGCCTCGTCAGGCAAATGTGCCAGCGAGCTCGGCATCAATTTACATTTTTGCTGCTGTTCTGTTCGGTTTTCTTATGCTGTCGGACCCTTGCTGGTCATGTATTGATTACGAGATTGTTGGTGAGTTGTGGTGAGTAGATGTGGTGTGGAATATGATTTCCTTGATATTCGTTTAATTTGAATGATTGAAAACCGGTGCATGTGATTGCGTACGTATGTGGTGATGTGTGATATATATATATATATATATATATATATATATATATATATATATATATATATATATATATATATATATATATATATATATATATATATATATATATATATATATATATATATATATATATATATATATATATATATATATATATATATATATATATATATATATATATATATATATATATATATATATATATATATATATATATATATATATATATATATATATATATATATATATATATATATATATATATATATATATATATATATATATATGATGTGTGATGAAATGTGACCAGTAGAATCGTGTACACTTAGTGTATTTTATGTTGTGTGTTGTGCATTGGGGTTATGCATAGCATGGTGTGATGATGTGCTCCTGTGGAGGGTGATGGCCTGGTGCCCATCGATAGTGATAATGTGCTTCTGTGTGGAGGGTGATGGCCTAGTGCCCATCAGTGATTGTGAGGGATAGATCACGTCTCAGGGGAGCGTAAGTGATCTATCCTGTTTATGATGTGCTCATGTGTGGAGGGTGATGGCCTAGTGCCTGTCATACCCTAAATTTGTCCTACCTTTTTGAAAATATTTTTGCATTTATCGTTTCATGCCTTTTAGACACGTGTCTGCTCGCGATTGGTTGATTTTTTTTCCAGAAACTTTATCTTTCTGACCAATTAAAAGGTGACACGTGGCTTAATACTTTTTTATAAATATTATTCTTTCTTAATTTTCTTAAACTTTTCCTTTTTTTTAATTTTTTGTTAATAATTAATATTTTGTGCACATGTAGCTCTTTTATTTGTAAATATCAATCTTTGTTTTTTTAGTTTGTTTTACATATATATTTGTTAATATCTTTTATTTTTATTTTATATAGTTAAATAGTTATGAATTTAATTTAAATATTATATTTAATGTTGTTCACAATTGCTGAAAAATTAATTAAAAAAAAAAGAGAGAAAAGCAGGCCCATTTGGTTAGTGGCCCATTAGGGTTGAGTCTGGTTATTAAAAAGGGGAGAGAAAGCCCTAAGGGGGGACGAACACTGTTCATCTCCCCTCTCAGAGCGAGAACGGCGCCGCTGGAAACCCTAACCCAAACCCTAAAAAAAC